CCAAAAAACCATGCATTTTTTAATTTGGTGATTCCAAATAAAAATTCTTACCAGGAAGCACACATTTCCAAAGGCCGTATGTTTTTCCTACCACAGTCTGCCACAGTCTCAATGTTCCATCTTCAGAACCACTGGCATAGAGTTCTCCATCAGGACTAAATCTTACACAGTGAATAGGCCCAAAGTGTCCTTTGTAGGATTCTGAAAAAAAGAAGAGAAGACTATTAGAAACTTTAATATTTAACTGTCAGGTTAAGTACTAATATGCTAAAGAAAATACTGTCTATATTATTGGGGAGATGCAAAATTCCTAAGGTCAAATACAAAACACTGTACCTAACTGAAAATAAAGTAATTTTCATCACAAACTGGTACATCATGTCTACCATTCCTCTGTAAGATTATCGCTTTCCAAATGCAGCACACATTCTGGTTTCAGATTGTCTCTCTAAAAAAGGAAATGAGACTTCATGTTCCACTAAGGAAGAAGAAAGAGGGATAAATGAAAACACCATAAATTCTACAGAATGTAGATCTACAGTGTATCAGTTCAATCCCAATTTCCATATCCTAAACTCATTACCTTATTTACCAAGGAACCAATTCTTATTATGACTATAGAGAGCCACCAGATGGAGCTCTTTTACACACTTTGCCTCTTAAATTTCCTACTAGGCTATCTAGAGTCCACAATCATTCTGTCACACAGAAAGTTGAGATACAGGATCAATACTAATCCTTAAATATTTTAATCTATGGAACCTAATGAGAAAATGTACAGATTAGGAGTGTTGTTGTGTTTAAGTCATACCCTATTTTATGAACCTTTCTCATTTACTTTCCAATGTCTTATTGCCTTCTTAGTTCTCAAAGCTCTTTACTAGACCAATACTCCTGTTCTATCCCCCATCTCTGTCCAACCAGAGAATAAAAAAGTTGTAGGAATAGAAAGAACACGATATTTTGGAACAAGAATGGCTGGGCATGTCTGGTATTCACTGTGATTTCAGATCTCAGGCAAATAAATCAGTTCTCTCATCTTGAAAAAGAGTAAGACATGTGATCAAAGTATTCTAAAACTTTGAAAACAGGCATTAAATAAAAACAATGGAAGTGAATCTCTTATTTAAAGGTCACTTATATTCAAGAAATAAAGGCTGAACTATAAGCAATTAAAATAGATTCTACATGGTCCATTCACCAAGGTTCCATTTGTGCAACCCAAATCTATTAGTTTTCCCCAAGAAACAAAACATAAAATTGTCTTTTGTTCTTTGTGTATAATTCTATCCAGCTTAGTTCTTTGGGTGGTAAAGCAGAACAGCTAGAAACAGACAAGAACAGTGACCACTTACAGACAAAAAAAAATTACAAAAACTAAATATACTTTTGAACCAAAAGCAAAAATTGTTTGGGAAGGCTAAAAGTAGACATTGAGAGCCACATGTAACTATGTGAAATACCTGGTCCATCATATAGAGTTAGGATGTACACTACTTTCAAAGTAATACTACACGCCTTTTCCTTTCCTTTACTAAGGACAATTATCATGAAAATGTAAGCAAAACTCAAACTCCAAAAAAGAATAACAAATTAAAACAGACAAAAATAACTCTCTAATTCTGATTCCTAAAGGTATCCCTGTAATA